ATGGGAGGCCCTGCGCCTGGCGGAGACGGCGCTCGGCGGGCGGGGGCTGCTCCGCCTCACCTCCGCTGAACCCGCCGCTCCTCCGCGGGCACCGGAGAGGGAGATGGACCGCCCGCCGCAGCCGCCAGCCGCCTCCTAGTCGTCCCGCAGCAGCAGCGGCAGCAGCGGGGCGGGTTGGGCATGGCCCAGCGCGCGGAGAGCGACGGAGGGCAGCGCTACCCCGGTGAGGCGTCAAAGTTTCTGCGTGGCTCTTCCTCCTCGGGCGGCAGAGCCGGCCGGGCGGCGGCTTGCGCTCCTGCCGGGGGCTCGGCCCCCCGCTCGGGGCCGGGGCGGTGGGTGTGTGTGTGTGGGGGGGGGGGGGTTGCTGGCACCTGTTGGGGTGAGGGGCAGAGCCCGGGGCGGGAGCACCCCCCGCACCGCACCGCACCGCGGCGGTGAGGGGCTCGCCGCGGGCCGGCCGGGCTGCGGAGGGGTGGGCGGCCGGTTGCGTTGCCCCTCCGTGGCCGCCTTAAAAAGTTAGGAGGAGCAGCTGGGCTCCGCCGGAGTCTTCCCCGAGCGGTTTACAGACCGCAGAGGAGGGTGAGCGTTGCTTCCTCGGGCCGCTGGGGAAAGGCATCGGTTGTGGGTTTTTGTTTCTTTTGCTGTTTTTTTTTTTAAGGGCAGGCCGGCAGCTAGGAAACCTTCGCAGTGTCGGGTCAGCCTCAAAGCCCGTGAAAAGCAAGCAACTTTCATCTCTCTCGCTGCTTCTCTTCCTAGTCGAAGTCTCCTAGGTGATTCCCAAAAACCAAACAAAATACAGCTAACATTAGCTGAAGTTCTCGTGACGCTGCTGCTAACTTGACGTGGCCTCGCGTTTTTCAGTAATATTGGGGTGTGTGCGGGGGAAAGCCCTGTAAACTGCCTCTGGAGCAGAGGCTTTAGAAGAACGCTGTGAGTCATTTCTATTGCCTGCCTGACATAGCAAAAAAGTGGAAAAGTGGTGAATGGTTTGCTTGTGATCACTCTGCAAGCACTCTGCTCAGAAGCCAGGTTCGTGAAGCTCACACTTTGTGAAGGGCGCTGGCAAGGAGTTAGGTAGAAGACTTTTTAATTAGGGAAAAAAAAAAATCCCAACTTGTTTCTTTTCTTTTTGCTATTAAAGTTTTGGTAGTGCTTACATACGTAGCCTTAATCGCTGTATCTCGTGCTTTGTCAAAAGCTAGACTTCTGTAGCCTCAGGAATTCTTCACTGTTGGCAATGCTGTGGCTGTTAGAGCGTGAACATAAACAATCTGAACCAAGAAATGTTTAATAAACAAAACAGGGTTTGGTGCTCTTGTGCACTGAGGTCATCTGCAGTTGCACTTCACAGCAGCAATGTGTTTCTTGGTACATGCAACAAAAATAGTCAAATGCATGGAGAGTGTAAACTGTTAATTTTTAAAAAATATTTTTCCTTGAAGAAGAGAAAAACAGCTGCAACTCTGTAATTGAGGAAATTCCTTGCTCTTAAACACTTAATAACAAAAAAAATTGCTGGCAGAGATAAGTGTTGAAGAGACAAGGCATGTGATAAAAATTGAGAAGTTAACTCTTTGAGAACTGAGCAGTATATGTAAACCATTCCTGTTCTCATTCCTGTGAGGCAAGAAGGTATAAAGCCTGTTTTGTAGATAGTTGTCTCGCGCTTCCTTCTAAACAAGTTTGCTGCCTAAATTGCATTGCAAGTCACAGCAAACTTGGAAGAACGTGGTTTGAATTGGCATCTTTCTGATCTTTGTTTTACTCTAGTAGTTTGGCATTGCTGTTAACTTTATTTAAATTTTACATTGAAGTGGGTTAAAAAGCCATTTTATTCTAGATCTTAGAAATTATAATCAAATATGACTTGCTCCCTCTGTGTGGTTGAGTGATACGCAAAGTCAAAATCTGTTTTAAAGCCTCTGGTAATTGTCAGAACATGTCTTCCTGCATGCCATGATCAGAATCTGGGGAATGTAAGGCTGTATGGACAGCTATACTGGGACAGGCCAAACCTCCACCTGTCAGACTGAAGAATTTACCTGGGAGAGAGCCTAAAAGCAGGGCTAATGTATGTTGATGTTTCTATGAAGTTCTGATGCTTGCAGTTCAGGGGCTTCCTGAGTTTGTTTAGGAATCCTCAGTCATTTTTAATTCCCTGAGCTTACATGTAAATTTCTGGCATCCACAGTGTACTGTGGCAAGGAGTTATGCAGGTCAGCTACCCTTTGCATGAATAGCTATGTCCTGATGTTAATTTTGAACCTGGCTACAAAACTATCTGGTGCCCCTTAGCACTTATGTTGGAAGAGTTAATGAGTAAATAATATGTACCTACCCTCTCATTGCCACTTGTGACCTCTGCTGTGTTTTCCTATCTCCCTTTCCCTTGTTATTTCTCTTCTGGGATATTCACACCATGGTTCCTGTAAGACATAGGATATTAAGACTTTACAAATACCAATTTTATTTAGATGATAATATATTTAAGTAACCCATGGGGATTATGCATGTTTTGCAGACAAAAATGCTTATTCTTTCTCAGTTTATTATTCTACTAATACTTTAATAATGCTATGTTTATTATGATAATGTTGCAATAATGTTATGTTAATAAATGATTTATGGAAAGAAGCTAATATTGGAGCACATGACACTTAGAATGTTTGACATCAATTGTCAGATTTTGCACTTACCAGTGAGGCAGCTAAAATAAGGAGTATAAATATCACTTCACTACATCCTTAAAAAAAATCCTACAACAACCTAATGCAAAATGAATCAAGGAGTTCTCATGTATGTTTTTGACAGCTGATTACATTTCAAGTTTTCATTTAAAGCCCTTGACGGGTATACTTCAAAACTTCCCATAGTTTTGCTGAACTGTGTAAAACCCTTGTAGCTTGTTGTTGCATAATTTGCTCCAGCAAGCTATAGCTGTTATGTGCTTCTGCATTTGCAGGCTGCCCATTTAAAGGATACCTTCCTGTTAAATTTCTTGCTTAAAAAAATACCAAACCAAGTTAAAATAGCTTCAGTACCCTGCATGGAAATTTATTTTCACTTCTCTTTGAACTCTCTTGTTTACAGAATTGTTTGGCCTCTTGAGCTGCTGTATTTACTGGCTCTTCCAAGGCTGCTTGAATGCTTACATTTGTAAGCTTAGTCGAGAAGAGGCATGCAATTAAACTAAGGGCTGGCTGCTACTCCAGAAAATCACTGAGCAGAAGTGAAGGCAGTCACTGGAGGAATTCATTATGGGAACATGCTTGTGCTATTTACCCAAACATCATTGAAGTTGTTCCTGGCTGATTACATTTCTGTACTTTGTTTTCTGGATGCTTTAAGAAGTATGAATTGTGGTAAAGCAAACGCCTGCACCCTTGCTTATACAGTTCCATAGTGTGTGTGTATGTGCTTTAGACTAACGTTGGGGCTGGGTGGGCTGGTGATTTAAAGAGCAATGTAATGTGTATGAAGGGGTGGGTGAGCATGGGGAAGAGAAAACAGTCAGACTTGTGTTAGAAAAATAAGTGAATCCAAGCAAGAAGGTCTGAGAGCAAGAGATCCAAGTATATGCAACACTAATGATGTCTTATGCTCCATGTTATGTCGTATTTGTACACTTTGACTGTCACAGTTGACTTCATGAAGTAGAATAGTTTGTTGCCTGTACTCAAGGATTGTCGTTGAAGGGGTTTTGTTTGTTTTTTTGCTGGCCCTTACAATTTTAATTTAGTGAACAGAGAGGTTTGTAATGTACACAGTTGGTATGCTAACTATCTCAAGACATCACTTCTTTAAATTGCAGAGGATGTAAACTTTTCAAACCACGGTAATGTGAAAAAAGAAAAGTTGCTATAGCAACTCAGTGAGAAAAGTGTATATCTTCACAAGATTTTTAGTCAAAACAATACATTTGAAACCTTGCTTATCCAAAGGATTAGGCAGTTGATGGATTGATTGATTTGGGTTGGTTACATAGTTGGCTGTTAGAAAGTTCTGAAAAGGTCTAAAAGATCCAGGGTTGTTTCTACTTGACTTTTCCCTACACTTAGGAGTGGGTTGAACTGGAGCGTCAGATCAACTAGTGAATAGCATTTGTGTAGTAAGCTAAAGAATTGGTATAGTATACAAAGTACATTTGGATTCATTAACTTTTCATGTGACTGAAAGCTTGTGGAAGAAATTGTTACAGTTTGGACCAGCGGAATATGTTTGAAATGTGTTTTCTGTCACTTACTGCCTGTCAGTATCACAATGCCAAAGTGTATTGATGGGCTCAGATCTAAGAACGGACAGTACATCAAACCCTGGTGTTTGGCAGGGCTTAGGTGCCATTAGCCAGTGGTTTGGAATTGCTGGGAGGAACCAGTTTTCCCAAATGATATGTTTGGGTTTTGTTTTGTTTTGAGGGGGAGGGGAGGTTGGGTTTTTTTGTTTGTTTTTTAAAAGTAGAATGCAGGGAGGACCTCCTAGAGGACAACTGGCAGCTTTAATTAAGTGCTACACTTGAGAGAGAATAGGAGACCAGAGGCAGGAGACCAGGCTTCAGGAACTGGAAAAAAATCTGTCTAGAAAGCAAGCTGTTTGCAAGATGGAAGGAGCATTCTTCACTCCTTCACACTTAGCCCAGAATGTTTCAGAGTGAAGAAACTGAAGCAATATGTGCATATTTGTTCTGCCAACTGCTGCAGGGTAATTACATTGCAAACTTCAGCAGAGCTGTAGATAATTTAACCATTCATATAGAAAGAGAGGATGTATGTAATGTCACAGTAATAACCATGTAGAGTTTTAAAGGGTCGGTGGTGGTTCTGGGAGCCAGGGCAGCAGTCCTGATGGTGTTCCAGTTCTATGAAAGGCTGCAGTTGCCCACGAGGACAGCGCATCTAATCTGCAGCTTGTACTCGACTGCCCTGTCTTTGAGAGTCGCTCAGATTTAGACTGGAAGTGGGGCACTGACTGGATTAACTAACCTGCTGGCAGCCCCTGGGGACACAGTGTGAATGTATATTGCAAATACGAAGGATAGCGATCCCTGAGTGCAGTAAATACAATGCATTTGCAAGTGTCAGTTTTACTGTACGTGCACTGATGAAGTGCATCATGCGTATTGTCAAAACGTTGGCTACATGAATAGCTTTAAAGCTCTTCAGATTTTGCATCTCTTGCTTAATGCAAAACTGATATATTATGCATTCTATTTCACTGACAAATTTATTACCAGTTTTATGGTTTCCAGAAGAGCGCTAAGAAATTCTGTTTAAATGAACACTTCAGAATTTTGGTCCAAGTGTATGGAAACAAGTTTTGTAGCTCCCCAACATCAGTAAATATGCATTTATGACTGTATAAAAATAAATTTCAAATATTTGTCTTAATATTGATATGGAACATTAAAGTACTGCAGTTTTTATAGTATGTAATTTCACTCTCCAGAGATGTATATGAAGCAAACACTGGCACACAAACTGCTTATGAAAAGCCTTTCATGCTTGACATTTTCTGGAAGCCTAATTTAAGTTGCCATTGTCCTGCTTGTTCAAGCAGGGGGAAGGGATAGTAATCACGTGCAAAAGAAGATGAATAACTTTTAATTAAAAGCCTAAATTATGACAGGACTGAGTGTACTTAAAAAAAAAACCAAACTCAAACAACAAACAGCCAAGAATAAACTGCAGCCTTTCTGCAAACTCATAATCTTGTCTTTTCTTTCTTTTTAACCAGTTACCAGTTGGGCCAAGACAACTGATGTAAATTTATCCAACTCCTTAAATGGTTTGAGCTTTCTGGGAATTCTGGATGCAAGAGTGGGCAGCGGAATCCAGGGCCTTCAAAACTTGAACTCTGGGACCCCAAGATCTCTCTCATTGCCTGAGTATGGGCCTGGTCAGCTGTCCAGTGCTTTAGAAGATTGTCATAGCCTTAAATCAGTGGATTCTGGTATTCCAACTCTAGAAATAGGAAATCCAGAGCCTGTTCACTGCAGTGTGCTAAATGTGAAGAGAAAGCAGTCAGAACCTGAAATTGTGCCTGACAGGGCTTTTCAGAGCGCGTGCACACTGCCGTCTTATGTGCCTCCACATTCTCTGACTTCTGAACATGACCATGCTGTGCGAAAATCCTCTACTTTCCCAAGAACTGGGTATGACACTGTCAAACTTTATAGTCCAACTTCAAAAACTCTGAATCGAAGTGATGATATCTCTGTCTGTAGTGTTTCTAGTCTTAGCACAGAACTGTCAACAACTTTATCGGTTAGCAATGAAGACATTTTGGACTTTGTGGTCACGAGCAGTTCAAGTGCAATTGTGAATCTTGAGACTGATGAGGCGCACTTCTCGGATGTTACCCTGAATTCTACTAAAGAGACCAATGATCAGAGCCAGCAGGAGTGTTGTCAAGAGACAGATGTGGACAGTAAACGCAAAATATTGGGACCTTTTACGAACTTCTTTGCCAGGTAATGTTTCCATAAAATATATTTGTATTTTAACAGCGAGATCCAGTAAGATCATAGGAGAAAGATATTGTGTGATACTTTACTTTGAAAGAGATAATAGCTTGCTATTTTAATTTAAATTGGTATTAACAACATATTTTTTTCTGTTCCAAGTAAGTAGGCAAATACTGTTAGGGACTAAGGCCTCTGAATCCCACTTTGTATTATCTTTGTGATATATGGAAGCATCTTAAATCTTCTTAAAAGATTCCCTCTACATTACAGTAAAAGGAGTTCTGAACAAGGTGTTTTTCCTTTGAACAAGGGTTTTCTTCCTGGCTTCTCCAGTGATGCCTTTTGTGATTTTGGCCAAAGTCCTTAATCTCGTGTCGCATAAATAGGTAAATATAGGTAAGATCCATACTTGTATTGAAGAGCTTTTGTTGTCCCACAAGCGGGGTTCGGTACCTGGTGTTCAATAAGCCAATCTTACACACAGAGCTGAAATACTTATTTCCTGTTTGTGCAAATATGGGTGCTAGGTGATAATTCCACAAAGCTAGCACATCACACCAAAGAACTACAACATATTTATCCTGTTACATGATTAGTAAAAAGCTGCCTAAATTTACGTTCGTTGGTTAGTAGTCACCATCTCATCTACTATTGGTTAGTTATATTTAAATTGGCCTCACTTGCAATGTAGATTAGCAGGCATGCTCCTTGCAAGTGTGGGGAGGCAAGTCTTCTTGGTCTTGAATTGAGTCAGTGGTCGCGATCTCCCCCTGCTGCCTTTACCTTTCCCCTAGTTACTGGAGTTTTTCTGACTTCATGTTTCTTTGGCAGTCATCCCGCCGAAGCCTTCTGGAGCAGGATGTTCCCTTTTTATCAGCCTTTTAGTTCTTCAAGGGCATAGTGGTTAGTAAGGTGTGATACGAAGTAAACAGGCCTGCATAGTGAAACTACTGAGTAATGGTCCTCCTTAAAGGACAATGCATCAAGTTTAACCCTAAATTAAGGAGTATCACCACAGCCTAGTCATTAACTCAAACATATGGCTGCACTTTGACATTTGAGGATTCATAAGTGCTCTAGTCGTGATGGAGTATTTTATTGATCAATATAAGTGTATGAAGCTTAAAATACAAATACTTGGCAAACACTTGCATGACTACTATGATTTTTCCGAATCTCAGTTATAGTTTTGTTAATACCTTTTTTTTTTTTCATTTTTATATGGAATGAGAACATCTGACACTTTGTCTCTCAGTTGTTGAAATGAAAGCATTGGCCACTCAAAGCAGTTATGTGACCTCTTCTAAACACAGCCCTTGTATGAGCGATAAGGTGTTCTAAATGCAGTTACCCAGTGACAGTGGTGAATGAGGAAAAGGACTAGTCTACTTTTTGGGGTTTGGGTTGTTGGTGGTTTTTTTGTTTTTATTTATTCAAGGCCTTCATAACATCTCTTATTTTTAGGATATAACATCTGAAGTATGATATATTTTGAAGAAACAGTTCTAGAAGTAAACTTTAGCCGCCAAGCAGAGTTGGCTGTATCTAACCTGTTTTGAGGACCTAATCTCTTCCTCATGTAAATTTTTTTTTTTGCGTGAGACGAATAGGCTGATATGCACAGACTGATAAAATACTTAGAGAATTGGCAAATGACATTCTTTGAAAGGCTGCCTTATTTGCAAGCTTAAGAGAAGCAGTTTCTTTAGATCTACTAAACTGGCTGAAGCCTTCATTGGTTTTTATTCTTAGGTTAAAGTAGAGTACTGTGCAGCAGAACTTCTGTCATCAGTCCTGTTTGAGGTGCTGAAGCTTTTGTGGACCTCTGTCTGTTTGTTGCCAAGGAACCAGACTTAATTCTGAAGCAGGAGGCTTCTCAGCACTTCAAAGCATGAACTTTTGTTACCCATTCTGGTAGCACAAATGCTAACTCGAACAAATGCTGTCCTTCAGCCTGGAGGGAGCACAGTAAAACAGGCACATTTAGACCCTGCTCAAAGTAGGATGTTTAACCGCTTCTCAACTTTCCTCATCCAACAAAATAAAGCCATCTGTCCAAATTCTGTTCTAGTGTAGTCTCTAGTGGTTTTGCCAGTGTTACAGAAACCGTGGTACTCACTAGACTGAGCCTTTTAACCTGAATCTTTTCAGGTACGTTGAATTCCACAGAACAAAAACTGTCCTTACTGCCTTTTAAATGGGGAACAGGTAATCTTGGTAACCACATGATGTCATCATGAGAATAAGAGGATTAAGTTCAAACTAGGTGATTGGCCTTGAAGTTCCAGGTCCTCTGTCTGTAACCTGGCCTTTAATATCCTTCACTTTAACATCCACTTTCTGCTCTGTTTTGAAAACAAGAGTTGCTCACTTTTTTGTTTGTACTTGCACACCACACCCCCATATTTTATGCATCCTTTCTCTTATGTTGTGTGACCTGGTGGTGAGTTTCACAGGTATTGGACAAGCAGGGAGCTTCTGAAGGTCCTTCTGTGCCACAGGAAATACTGCCTATATTTATGCTGTCAACATTGTTAAGGATCAAAACATGCTGTTGCTAGTTTTTGATGATATTTGCAATCTGCCGTCCATGGGATTGTAATTGCTGCTTCTAGTGATCCCATACAGTCCCTGTTCCCTGGAGTTCCTATGGGCTCCTTGGATTCCCAGGGCTTAAATGAGTACTTCAGTAAATGAACTTGGGCCCTGCAGTGTTTTGTTTGAAAGTAACTGACTTCTAGGGGCCTTGCTACCTAGCTCACCCTGCGTTGTGTGCCAGGGTTTGTGCACGGTCTTAGACAAGGAAGTGGCATTTGGAATAGTATCTTTGAAGACCAGCTTGCTGAGAAGGGAGCTTCTTAAAGTAGTTTGTAAAAAGTGCTGCAGTGGTAGGTATAAACAAAGTCCCAGAGAGGAGCATGTTCTTAGCACTTCACTGTGTTGAAAGGAGTTTCACTTGAGATTCACAGTCTTGCAGGTTAAGTGCATAAACCTTCCCTTTTGAAAACCACGGATGAACTATGGCAGGAGAAAGCCAAATTGCTTTGGCCAGTGGCTGGCACATTTGTGTACAACGTGGCAGAACAAGCACTTGAGTGGTTTGTACACAGCCTTTCTGTCTTCCAGCAGCCTGATGGTCATGGAGTAAGGTTGCAGTGCAGGGGCTCTCGGCCTTAATCTGCAGGTTTAGCTCTTTGAGGGCTCCTCTGAGTAATGGGATATGGGTTTTGAACCACTGAGAGTGAAGATGAATCAGCTTAGTTTTTGCCTAATTTGTTGACATTTGGTAAAAGGAGAAACCTTGTTTCTTGAAATAGCAGCTGTGCTTGTATTGAACCCTGTCTGTCATCTGAGAATGTGATAGTTTCTCCAAACTTGTCAAGACAGAGTTTGCTCTGGATACGTCAGTTAAGATTTGTGGCTGCCTGTAGAGATAATACTGACAAAAATTAGATGCCTGCAGTGCTTGGTCACATGCACCTAAGCTGCTTACGTATCAGTTAAGGGTATATCTTCTACAGAATCAAGCAAATGCTTAGAGAAGCACCTGCTTTGGAATGTAAAATTATTTCTTAGCACTCTCTAGATTTATTTTTCCTTGCGAGATCGTATGTATGTGTGCATGTGCCCTACGCATGGTTGTGTGTTCCATATTAGTTGTGGCAATATCTGTGGTGTGTTACAAAGGGTTGGTGTTGGCTTGGGGCTGCAGTTGAAAATTGAGTTGTAGAGGGGATCGAAGACAGGAGAACCCTGTTGGCTCCGTGCCTGTCAGTCCCGGCACCTTCAAGGGCACTTGGGGATGGAGTGCTCCTGCCCTGCCTTCTTGAGCACTATGGTGAAGAAAGTTTCCTGGGCTGCTCCTCTGGCTCAGTTGCTGTCTCTTCAGCAGTTTGAGGCTCTGAAAGGTCTGGTTGTTTCCTCAGGCTGTTACATGCCTCTTTGGGTGTGGGAGGAAGATCCAAAGTGAGAAAAAGAGACCGCTTTCCTCCTTGTTTATGCATAGCTTTCCTCTTGGAAAAGCTTAAGGCACCACAGGTACAGTGCCAGGTGGAGTACTAGTGCTCTCATTAGGCTCCAGGTTAGCACATGAAAATGGATTATTGCTTCTGAAAGCAGCGGTAAAGCTGACTGCTGACAAAGAAACCTGACATGTTGGTTGTTTTCAAGTGTCACGCATACTTGTATCAGCTCTAAAAGGCCGGAGGTCTTTCACATAAAGCATGAGTTTGAATTAATTCCCTTCATTCGAATATACGCAGGAACTTGGTTTGAGAAATAGTATGAGCAAACAATTGGCTGGGAGACTAAAGAGTGGTGACTTGTCTGTCCCTTTGCCCTAGTGACCCAGAGTAGCGTAGCTTAGTGAGTTTTACCTTTGGACTTTGCTTCCGTATAGTACTGCTGAAACACAGACTTTTTAAATGTTCAGGTTTTAAACAGCTTTGCTGAATCAGGACCATTGTGATCTCACTGTAGAAGCTGTACCTTTCATTTATCGTTTTGGAGACTGAGGATGAGGCTTTTCATGGTTACATGCAGCATGACCATGAAAAGGACTAGAACTATGTTCAGTTAAATAATAAGCCATGCAGTTACCTTCCTTTGTAATGGACTAGGAGAATCCTAAGAATCTTTACTTAGTCCGCTGCTGTGGATATTGTGTATTTTTCCAGTAATCTGGATCCTCTTTCTTTTCAGGCTGCTCCTAGAAGTTTTTGATCCAAATGTTCTAAGTAGCAGGATCTCAGGAAACCTCTAAGGAGAATAGGAACAACACATGAAATAAAGGGCTTTAAGAAGAATATTTCATTTTACTGTTTCCAAAGAGTCTCTGTATTTCTGAGAGAGAGCTTCTCGAGCAGGATTGGCATCCTATACCATACATAGAAGCACAAACCTAGTCCAGACTGTGGCCTTACTTATAGTCTGATAAGAAAAAGGGCTTAAGTTTCAAAATAATAGCTACTGGTTTCAGCATTAAGTCTGAAATCATGTGAATTTGA